GTCATTTTTTTAAATGGAACTCCCTATTGTTTATTATACTATTTTATTCTACTAATTAATATGAACAACTTTTGTCTGAAACATTGAAAAAGTTATAAATTTTCTCTTGAATATCTCAAAAAGTATTAGGCAAATCAAAACATGTTTCAGACAAAAGTTGTTCATATTAATTAGTAGAATAAAATAGTATAATAAACAATAGGGAGTTCCATTTAAAAAAATGACGGCGACCTCTATATAACCATAAAAAATTAATTTTTTTCGAAAATTTATTTTACCATTATATAGCCCTTTTAAAACCGTATAACTTTTGTCTGAAACATTTTTCCGTATCTCCTATATTTGTCGAGATATTTCACCGGTCCGGTATTTTTCCCTCACCCTGTATATCCAAGATATTAAAGTAATGCTAATCAATTCTCTCAATTAGTTCTGTCGATATTCAGTAACGCAAAGACAATTTTCACTTAAGTGGCAATAACCGAAATGTTAAGTTGCTTAACTACATCAAAAAACGGTCAAAATTTTTCCCAGAGTAGAGTTACGAACAATCCAAATAATTCGATTACTAATGGTGGGCCCCAAAATGGGTTATAACTGTCTTTTTTTCCCCAGAGATGCAATATTAAACTTAAAAATATTTTAAATAATTAACTTCAAAACATTTAACATTTAACCTATTTTACAATATCAACTTCAAATATTAATGACCGCTTGCCTTTTCGATATATATCACTAATGCGCAACACGTCTATCATGAATGATAATTTAGAATCTTCAGGAATAAATTGCAATGCAACCTTGAAGATGTCCGACTCAGCTTCTTTTTCTTTATTTTGAGAAAGCTCTGACATGCAATCATTGGCTATCTTTGCAAAGGTGTTAACATTACTTGTTAGTAAATCCATTGATTCATTCTTCTTCTTCTTAGAATTTTTATACATATCATTGGGAGGTACTTTGTTCTCACGTTTCAATGTCACCTTTTGCCTGATACATGACAGCGAAGTGTCAAGTTCCGTATCTCTTGTCACTAGAGTTACAGAGAAAAGAAGCACAGATATAATGAATAGAAATATATTACTTGAATTAAAATGAATTGGAAAAAAGTGTTTTTTTATTTATACTCGTTAGCATTTTCTCATTGGCATTTTTTTTTTAAGATTCCACTATTGGATCTTCGTCAATCACAATGTCTGAATCGCTGATATCATACATATGTATCAATTGACTGAAGCGCTTCTTTCACCATGTCTATATTTATAGGAGTTATTAATTGGGAAACACTACTTGTCATTTCATTATTTTTATTGACTGTACTCGTGCTCAACTCCTTCGTGATATATGATATTTTATTCTCTTTTTCCTTGTCACGTTCAAATAAATTCGGCACAGTACATGATTTTGATGATGTCATATTTGAGTAAGTTCTAATTAAAATTTAAAAAATTATTTTTAATTCAATTAATCGAAAACAACTGATAACGGTCATAGCAAGATCGAAGTGCTTCAAATAATATTTGCAGGGTTGAGAAGTAACTCGTTACTTGTAACGAAGTTACAGTTACAGTTACTTCTTTTTGGTAACTCTAACTTAACTTCGTTACTTTCTCTACATCTGTAACTGTAACTTAACTCAGTTATATTTTTTCGATAACTAGTAACTAATTCAATAGTTACATTAATAGTTACTTTATATATATTTTCAACCTCCACAGATCGCATTAAGCCTTGCATTTGCGCATAAACGCCTTTAACGCCGCTTTACAAATCAAATGCAGATTTGATATTTTTATTTTTATTGCAAGGGAGTAACTGCAAAGTAACGATTCGTTACTTTTCGAGTAACTGTAACTGTAACGCGTTACTTTTCAGAATTGGTAACTTGTAACTGTAACTAGTTACATTATAAGCGAAAAAACTGTAACTGTAACTAGTTACTTTTATAAAGTAACTTTCCCAACCCTGAATATTTCTTATGTGATATTTTATATACATTTTCTAATTCTTCCGTTTTTCTCTCTGCGTATGTGTGTATACCTACACTTTAAAGAAACAGAGAGAAAAACAAACTTACTTTCTTGGCTCAATATGATCTACTAAGAAGAGCAGATCTGAATAATAATCCCATGTGGGTTTATATTGAATACTACAATCTGTAGCACCAGCTCCGGACTTGGGTTGCGTACTTATAATCTTCCTCCTTTCTTTACAAAAAATATCTCTCAAAGATTTAAATTTCCTTGCTGCTTCTTCTCCTGAATAAAAAAACGCAACATGAAATAAATTACTGTTAAAATTAAGATCACACCGGGATTAACAACCTAAGATTCAGTTCTAGCAATGCCTCTGAAGCTTTACGTCTCGAAATAAAATAAATTCAAATTATTACAATAAATATTTATTATAAAATATAAATTTTCTTACCAGGACAAGGAGGACGAAAAGTTTTCCCCAACTCTGTCCATGCCAAATTTTTTTGGTCTTGGTTTTTATATATTTTGACACTTTTGGCGTACAAACCAAGATTTTTTTAACTTTATAAATTAAATCCCGCGTTGCCGCGGAATCCCAATTATATACCATTTAAAAAAAACTTCATTTCTCACCTCGACGAGATCCTACGATATACGAGAATATTTGACAGTTGCCGCGATATGACAAGATATGTTCTGATTGGCTGGTCGCTTCGACGCAGGACGCGAAAGTTGAAATTCGCCCAACTTCTGTGCGTCCTGCGTATTGAAGCCTGCGGCTTGTTGCGGCCGGAAATACGTCACGCTGCGTCTAATCTTGCGACTTGCGACCCGCGTCCTGCGTCTTATGTAGTGGAAAAGTTCGCATCGGCAGACGAAAGTATCGTGCTCGCGCTCACGGGAACAAGTTCTATCTCAGTGCTTGTTAGCTCACATTGACAATTAGTGCTCACCCAGGGACAGACTCATAAGTTAAGTGCACAAATCGAGTGCATCGGTGTTCTGCGCAAAGGCCTCTCACTTTGTATATGTATATGTATGTATGTATGTATGCTAGGACCAGTATTCATAGTCAGATCTTATACTCAAGACCATCGTGAATTTATCTAAAGATGCTGTATGGAACATTTCATTGGCTACGGAGTATCTAAATATGATCTTAAAACAGTCTTGAATATAAAATCTAATTATGAATTCTGGTCCTAGTGTACATACGAATGTTCATATGTACACGAAAAAAAAAATGATGTTTCAATAACAGTGTAATTGAAACTACAAAATTCGTGATATCATCTTAAAAAATAACTTTTTTTAATAAAAAAGGTTTAAAAAGATGCCAAGTATAAACGTCATCCAATCAAAAATTATTGTATAATTTAATTATTTGGATAACTTTTATTTAAGAAAAATTTTAATTTTCTCCCTCCCTCCAAAGTATCTTCTCTACAAAAGTAATGATATCATCAAATGGCGCCAACTAAACTGAATATTTATAAAAACTAGGCACTTTATTATTTTTTATATTAAAATGTTATAGTCAAACAATCGAGCATAAAATTTTATCGGAAGAAATAAAGGAAATAATATTAATAAGACAAATTTTTAATACTTATTCCATAACAGTTTAATGCAAATAAATTTAATACAAATAAATATTTTATTAAAGGTCGCCTTTTCTAATTTGATTGTGGGATACATATCGATCCTGATTCATGACATTGTTTATTAAAAAAACTTGGCGCTGCTAAACCAAATGTTAATTGCGCTCTTCCTCTTTCCTTACAAAAGTGTTAAACTTTTTCTTTCTTTCGTACATACGTGTGCTATATTATCACACGTGTGTATCCCATAATTAAATTAGAAAAGGCGATTTTAATAAAATATTTATTTGTATTAAATTTATTTGCATTAAATTTTTATGGAATAAGTATTAAAAATTTGTCTCATTAATATTATTATTTCCTTTATTTCTTCCGATAAAACTTTATGCTCGATTGTTTGACTTATTTGAATTACCATATTCAGGAGAAATTCTGATAATGCAAGATATACAAAGATTATTTCTCACTTTTATCTATACGCTTAATGAAAATATTAAGTGACTAGCAACAAATAAAAGTTGGTATATCCTTAGTTTGTGTAAATAAAAAGGTTCAAATTTTTATGTTTCAGTGTTAGAGTCAAGCGGCAGATTTAAACCAGGGTTCCTCTACGGAAACAATTATTGGTTAGGAAGTCGTAGTCAGTGCATCGATACAATGAATACGAATCCTCTACAGATTTCAGAACAAAAAATGTTAAATAACATTCTGTATCATGATCCGCAAAGATTTCCACCTTTTAAAATAAATTATTTTGCCG